TCATTTGTTTTATTGTTCGTTCTTTTGTTCATTCATTCCATTCATTCCACCGTTCCTTTATGTTGTAGGTGAAGAGCCCAGAGAAGAAGATTATGAAGCGAGTGTTTTGATTAGTTTAATTTAAATAAAACATAAAGGAATGAAGAGAATGCATGGTTGTATTTGAATTGAACAAACAAAATGAGAACGTAACCAGGAATTAAAAGAATCTTGAAAGGATGATGTGTAATTAGAATTTAGTTGATGATTCCAATGATAGGATGACCTAGATTTCCAATGATAAAGTGACCTGGAAAGTTAGTTGTGTTTACCATTAGTATTCTAGGTGTATCCTCCATTATACAGATGACCTAATTTCTAATGGTATAATTATCTTTTTTCTTTATTCTTTTTGTCCTTTTACAAATGTGAAATGGAATGAAATGGAAGCGTGTTTTATTGAATTGAAACAAACAAGCATGAACGAAATAATGACTCACGATGCCAGGTTCGTGGATGAAGAGAACGTGTGTTGGGTTTAATAGGAGCATTGCTCCCCGGCTCGTCCAGGGCGCTCAGAGCCGCTCAGTTCACTGCTGCTTTTGCCTGCTGCCCTTTACGGCCTCCGGTCCTTGAAGGACGGCCTTGACCCTGGCTGCGCCAGCAACAGAGGCAAGGCTGCCACTGTTCAGGGCGGAGCTTGAAGGATCTTGCAAGACCTGGAAAGCCTAGTTCAGTTCGGATTTCGAGTGCTCCATTCCTGGCTTCTTTCCGTATTTGTTTGTGTTTTGGTTCAACAGACGTTGGAAAGATGTGGGGGCAGATATGGGGCCATGGCTGCCTTTGAGGCCCTCGAATATTTCCGGGCGCGCAATGCCAAGGACGGGATTACTGCAGTGCTGAAGCTGCGGGCAGCTGCTTCGTGGGCGCACATCTCTCTGTCGCGTGCTGTGGGCCCGCTGTTCTCGGAGACGAGCACGGACGGATTTGCAGCAACCCTCCAGACCGTGCAGGACGTCCTCTTTGAATGCAAAGCAGAGGGCCAGCAAGAGCAGCAAATCCATCTTCTCGACGTCCTCGCGCACGTACACCTTATCCGAGACAACTCCAACCGAGCCTTGAAGTGCTACAAGGAGGCTCTGAGCCTGGCCAAAGAGGTTTCCAGCTCTGTGAGCCATCTGCAAGGAACTTTTGACATGATTCGGCGGTTGCGATCAGAGCCTCCTGCTGCGGAAGCTTTCGACGCAGAGGCGCAGGTGCCCAGCTTGCCCCAACTGGTGCAGGAGGCACTGAAGGGCAGCGGCGCCGCCTCCGTAGACCGTTGCCGCCTGGCCTTGGCAGACTTCTTGACGCACAAGGCGAAGACGCACGCCGCCAGCCGCGCCACCATCCATGAGGCTGCGCAAGGCTTGGATGGCTCGGGCATGGGGCTCCTGGTGCTGGGCAAGATGGACTTGACCTCAGTCGAGGCGGTGACGAGGCTCCACCAGGCCAGCCGGGCTTTCCGGGCCGATGGCCTCCCGGACGCCGAGGCCACGGCGTTGCAGGCGCTGGCCACAGCTTTGTTGGTGCAGCCTCGGCCCGATCCGATGAATGCCTTGCAGTCTGCAGAGGAGGCCCAGGCGCTGTTCAAGGAGGTCAAAGACCTCCGTGGTGAGGCCATTGCCCTGCAACTCATCGCCAACTGCCGGATGCTCTTGCAGGATCGGGATCGATGCATCACAGCAGGCTACGAGGCCTTCCGGCTCTTTGTGCAGGTGGGGGATGACCACGGCAGCAAGATCGCCTACAAGCTCCTCAACAGCCTTGGGCAATCCGATCAGCAGATTCGTGCGTCTGCTGCGAAGAAAGAAGTGGCACGATTTGATGAGGTGAAGGCCAGCGAAGAGAAGCCGGAGGTGTCAGAAGAGCTCCGGGCGATCATGGCAGAGCAGGTGGTTTGGGAATACGCTTGGGTCCCTTCCGAGACCCAAGATCCCAAGTACTTTGGCGAGAAGCGGCCGAGTGGCACTCGCCGCATCCTGGTTGCCAGTGAGCTTCGAGATCCGCGGCTCACACAGCAGCTGGCGCGCTGCCGGGCAAAAAGCCAAAAATCCAAGCCTTTCTTCGCAAACCTCATCAACGGCCGGCTTCTGACGGCGAGTGCCATGGAATCTGCCATGCAGGCATCCTTGTGTACTGCGGCTGTCTATGATGTGACGCGACTCAACAACCTAACCCACTTGGAGGTGATGGACGTCGCGATCCGATTGGTGAAAGCGTTGCAGCCCATCGAGGATCCCAACAAAGTTGCTCTGGACATCGTGCTGTCTTCCACACAGAACATCGCTTCCGTCCAGGGGATCCGCGTGCCCTTCCATTCCACTTTGTGGGGTTTCTGTAGGTCCGCGAGGATTGAGAATCCAACTCACGAGTTCCGCGTCCTCGATGTGGATGCGAAGACCTTCAAGCAGGACATGGCCTTTATCACCCGATACCTCTTGGGTGCACAAAGTACAAGGCCCATGGAGGCCATCGTGAGGAAGGGTGCATTGCATGTGGCTCGGTTAGTGAGTGCCAGGGCCGAGCTCAAGGCACCTATGAAGATGGTCCGGAAGGTCCAGGAATAGCAGCGCAAAGCACGGTACTCGAGCTGTGTGGGTGGCCCCACGCATCGACTGAGGCTCTAACCTGCAAGGATCCCAATGAGACGGATCCGACATGTGCCTCTTCCCGAACAAAAAAGCCGTGTGCAGTTGGACAACTTGATTCTGGGAGCATCGTCTCTCGGGCATAGGAAGACGTAGAGACATCAAGCAGGGCATTTGGATTTGCTAGAACTCCGGCGGTCCAGATGGAGATCTGAACCAACCGGCTGTTGATCTGGGTTCGCTGAGGTAGATCATTCCTTGTTCTTTCGGTGTGTGCCCTGTTCTGCAAAGGTGTGATATACCGCCGGGTTTAATGCTGTGTTAGTGTAGCTTGCCAGCCAGCCTCTGGCAGGGGTTTTTTTTGCTAGAGAAATCTGCAACCAAACGGGACGGTCAAGCTTGCACGGTAGCTTACAGTAGCCTACATAGAGTGCAGTAGGGGCATTATCCAAAGGTGTGGGTTAGCATTGAACTCTTATGTGTGTCGTTTCGCATGCATTGCGATGCCTTCACATGGTGCCAGGCTGGCCGGTTGCTGTTCGTGATGGTCTGCTGATTCATGGCTGCACAGCTAGGTGTTATCTCCTGTCGCTGACGGTTTGCGCACGTGCACGTGTCTGTACCTGCAGTCGCATGCATAGACTCATAGATGCAGTCATGCGCACATGCGTAGCACCTCGAGCACTTGATCACCGAGGACGGACGGACAAACAGACTGACAGACACACAAGGCTCTGTCCCCTTTTCTGTTCTTGCTCTTTCTCTTTCTCTCTCTCTCTC